AGAAAGAAAGAAAGAAAGAAAGAAAGAAGAAAGAAAGAAAGAAAGAAAGAAAGAAAGAAAGAAAGAAAGAAAGAAAGAAAGAAAGAAAGAAAGAAAGAAATCTGGCACCCTGGTCTATAATATCTGTAGGTAATAATGAGTAGTTGACTGTAATTTTTGAAATGGTTATCTGTCATTTTTATACTATTGGAAAAACTTTAATCAGCCAGATTATGTTTCCTTACCATATGCAGGGTTTCTTTTAAAACTCAACATCCCGAGGGCAGATGATAAAAGGAATTTGACAGAGTTGATATGGAGGTGCTCAATCTGAGTAGTTGATTGGTCAATATACATCGATTTGAAATCTTGGAACATCCTGTGAGCTTTAGTTATCATGCTTTCTTGCCAGCTTACAAAGAGTTTCTCATTTATCAGTTGCTTTGCAAAAATTATTCAGTGACATAACACAATTACATTTCACAATTTTTTTAAATAATTATTGGTTATTGATAAGAAACTCCTGGTATACAACTCTGAAGGTTGGAGGGTGGCAAAGTAGAGTTTCTTAATTACTACAGATAATATAAAGGCAATTGAAATTTACTTAAGATTGATAACAAGCCCAAAACATTTTTCCTAGACCCTATCCAAACCATAGAGTCTTGAGTTAGACTTCTCTTTGCTGTTTATGTCCTTTTAATACTGATATTTTTCCCTAAGGGAAAACATTGCATATGAATAATAGGGTTAATGAAGAGATCACTTAATGAAAGACTGTTCTAGAATCATAAGGGAAATAGTAATTATCCCAGTGTCTGATTTACCTAAACTTGAAGAACAAGGGTGTTTTTCAGGGGACAAGTGCATTTACTTTGGACAGGAGGTGGGTGTCTGACCGGGACTCCTGCTTTTGCTCTTTAGCACTTCCTACTGTCAGGTTCATGGACAAGCGCTGAACCGGAATCTTCACGCAAACCATATGTTTGTTCCTCGTGGCCAAGGGATGAGCTATTAGAGTGTTCTGAGCAAGGGAAGGTCAGGACAAGTTAAAAGGAAACAGCAGTCAAACTCAAAGCATTGGAGGATGAATAATACTTTAACACCCATATGAAAAAGTTGAATCTACCTGAATATGAAAGAATTCTAGTTCCTTCTACAGAAAGCAAAAGAAAATAATGGCATTTTACCTAGGAAGGGCAGTGTCTATCATTCCTCCACTACTCTATAATGAGTATGTTACTGTGTCTTCTCTTTGTTCACAGTATATTACAACCCCTCCAACACTTGCGAAAGTCATCTCATTACTAGAACTCTCCTTTAAAAACTATTACAAAAAATCAGGGATTGTTCACTCCCCAGTTTTGACATGCCCATCCCTGGAAGGATATTAAAGTATCTTTTCTTCCTAGTTTCTGACAGTTAAAGGTAAAGTTTGGTAAGAAAGTTTCATTGATTTATTGCAACGTTCTAGAAAGATCTGCTGACAGAAATCAAGTAAAGGTCCTCTGTGTATGATGTGTTGCCATTTTTTTTTTTGTGGCAATACATCAATAAGTCTATGTGTCTGTATGTAGATCTGTATACATATAAAGGTACTGCATTTGGCAACCTGCACTGACAGCATCAAAGCCCTCAGGTTCACTCGCCTTCTCTTCTGAGTACACTGAAAGTTTTCATTAGGACCAGGTATATTTACATAGGAGTGCTATAATCCAAGAGCATATGCCACAGTAGGAGGGCTGAATAGATTAGGCAGATGGTTTCTATTGGGAAATAATCTTTCCTTCCTATTGCACGAACACTTATGATATCATTACTAAGGTGCTTCTCTGGCTATGTCTGCATCACTGAATAAATGATTGCAGTTTAAAATAACTATGTCTTGCATCAGAAATATACTACATATTGAGATATAGGGCCTTGGAGACTAGGGTGTGAACTATCTCTGCAATCCCACAGCTGAACACGTTCTGCCTTGTTAAGTTGCTTGAAAAAAATGTAGTAAAAACTTCTATTTCCTTTCTTAATCTCTTCCTTTTCCTATTCTTTGCCTAATTACTCAGTGAATAAAAATAAATACATGCTTATTGCAAGTATTCCTAGAGTTCCCAGAACAGAAGCACAATTAAAGTAGTACAACGAAGATCATGATGTTGGCATAGATTGGAAGAAATGAGAAGGATTTCCTGGTGCATATGTGGTGAGTTAAAAAAACTGTAGTTCAGGAACTCAGAGGCTTAGTGGAAAAGAAGAGAAAAAGCTTGATTTCATAGCTTCCTATGATTGTTCTCCCCTTTCTTTTCTCTTTATTGCCAGTTCTAGCTTTCTGCAGGAATGCTGCTACTGCTCACAGTAAATCCAAATGAAAAAAAAAAAGCAGAAAAACCAGTGCAAAACCAGTTCATTGAGTTTAGGAAGGTGTCTGGGCTCCATCCCATTTCTGCTGGTTATCATTGTTTGTTTTGTTTTTTAAATACATGTCTCTTCCTTCTTTTTCTGCTCATGTCAAGACAATCACAGTGTATTCTCTTTCTCTGGGAAGAGAGTTTTCCCCACAGAATTCAGTCTTCCCTACACTATTCATTTCATATTCATTTTGAACTGGAAGAAAATAAAGGCCGTAACACACACTAGGAAAGGGCAAGAGTCTAAAAGAATAAAATGGTTTGGCTGGTAGAAAAGTATCTCGGCTGTGGCCACCCGGGTTGCATTGGCAGCAATGGGGAGCTGTTTTCCCTCGTGGGCTGCAAGTGATGTGGGCCGTGATCATGTGCGACGTGTCCCTGCAGCCTAACCTTTGAGTGCTGCTTAAGTCCTTCAGCTCAGCTCGGCACTCTCTCTTCATCCCTCTGCACTAAACAATTCCAGTTCTTTGGCATCAGTGTTTCCATTTGCAAAAATTGTGTAACTCTATCTAGAGACTGTCCTTCCAAGCCTTTCTTTTGGTGTGTGGTGAAAGGATAAAAGAAAATTCACATGGAGAAGCCAGAGAGCAAGAGCGAGAGCGAGAGAGAGAGAGAGAGAGAGAGAGAGAGAGAGAGAGAAAGAGAGGCAGACAGATACAGACACAGAGAGACAGACAGAGACAGACAGACACACAGAGATAGAGAGAGACAGAGACAGAGAGACAGAAAGACTGAGAGACAGAGAGAATTTTAGAGTCAACGTGTTAAATTGAAATAGTTTTTAGGGAAAACTTGTGCAAGAGTCTGCTTCCTAAAAGAACACAAAGCCTTTTTGTGTGTTCACAGTTCCATTGAGATAGGTGTAGAACAATCTTGTATGTTCCTTTTATAGGTGCTAGTACAGTGTTCTTCCTAATACTCAATAAGACTCTAGAAGGTATTCCTGAGAGACATGTGGAGGGAAGAAGTAACACGCTCTTGAGTTGCTGTCAACTAAGTGCAAATCTGTTTTAGAAGTCACTGTGTCTCTAGAAACCTGGCAAGAACCTTCTCTCTTTGACATGGGAGTCAAAGGCTTGTCTTCTCAGAGGGAATACTGGATTCATAAAATCAGTAGAATTTGTCATTTAGCACTACACAGATGAAATGTCCTGTGATTGGGGTCTCATTTGAGGATGGATAATTAATACACTTAGGATTATTTTATAAGCTGAACCTTTCATTCTACCCTTTTCATTTTGACAGATGCTTTTTCTTAACTGGATCAGTTAGGGTGATACAAGACCTGCCCTCAGTGTGAGTTATTCAGATCCCAGCTTTTCTCCTCTCGTCCATGGACATAAGCCATTTTTGCTGTTCATATTATTTGCAGACAAATGCAAAGAATTTCAAAAACCAATAGGCACTTTGCAATTTATTACATTTACTAACCTTAACGTGATTGTAAGGGGCCGGGGAGATGGCTCAGTAAAATAAGCACTTCCCTGGCAAGTGCACGGGTCTGAATTCGATCCCCGGTTCTTAAAGA